GATGTAGCATGAATAGAGTAATATGTTTTCATATGGATTAGAATTCTATATGAAATACACGAAAAACAAAGAAAAAGAAATCCCCATATTTAAGAGCCAAAATCGACAAGATTGGTTTACGAAGTAACACATGCAGTAGGCCTATACTGATACTCACTTAAGGATTAAGGGGAGAACACTTTGGTTTATTGCTCAAAAGGTGTCAAAATGTATATTTGAATGAATTTTTCTTATTTTTAGAGTGCTGTAGGTGTTGTGATACAACAAAGAAAAAATTAAGTCTCCCCTAAATAGGGGTTATTCTGTCTCTTATACACATCTAGATGTGTATAAGAGACAGGTACATATATATACTACATATATATAATAATATATAAATCATGAAATAAACTCTAAATTGATTTGTGGTAATGTATAATTATATATAAATTTTGGATGTTAAAGAAGTGGAATCTGCAAGCGTGAAAAAAGTTGCTTCAGCCGGGATTCGAACTGGGATTTTCTACTATATGTATATTGTGACAATTTACACTACACTTTAAATTAAATGTTCCACAATTAATTAAAATATTACTCCAGAGAGCAAAAAGACAAAATACCATTTTTTTAATTAAAAAAATTGTAACAATGTATACATTTTACAAGAAATTTAATTTACTAAAATACGTCACCGATATATCCATTTTTTTATTTTTAGTTCAGATTAACTTTAGTATACAATTTTTAAAATACAATAAATAAATAAATAAATAAATAGATGAATAAATAATCGAATAAATACATAACTGAAATTATAGACCTTGCTAATTGTTTGTAACCATAACTGTAACTATACGGCTCAATATTTTTTTTTCATGTAACATTTACCTTAACCATGTACTATTATTATCAACACTATTTTCTACTAAGATAATCGGTACCTTCTGTCACTTGAATTCTATAAATGAATGCTTGCAAAAAAGTGCCCATCGAATATTACTCTTCAATTAGCTATATCGTGAACTCTTTACCATACAAAAAAGTTTGAAACAACGGCTACTGGAATTTTTTCCTGCAGTTTCTTGAAGTATAACAGCACCTACGTCTACTGTATATCAGATGCGTCTGTTGTGTATGTCTGGTAATTGAAGTACTGGAGATTTGGATAACTTACCTTTCAACATACTGGACGCGTTTTCTTGTTCTGTACCCCATTTAACTAGATACAGTTAAGGGGACACCTTCGGGACCAAAAACAGTGTCCCCTTAATAGGGGT